AAATAAAAATATTTCAGTGGATGAGGTGAAAACGTAAAAGTTAAGGCCACCGCCAGCATGGATGCTTGGGTTTACTGCCTTTTCAAATTACTTTCTGAAATTACTTTCGATGCTGTTGATATGACAAACACTTTCCTCTGGAGTTTAAATGTCAATGGTGCTTTGAGTGTTACTTTTAAAATGTCCATGAAAAAAAATGTGGTATTTTTTGTGATATTACATACAGTATGTGTAATACAAATATGTATCTTAATTTTGAACCACTTGGAAAAAATGCAATAAGCTTATTATTTTACAGTATTCATTTTTAAGGAATCGCAGAACTCGTATTGCATGTAGTAAACTGGCTGCAGTCAGTGATCACATTTGATTTGAAATGTATCCATCTACATGTGGAAATAAGAATATGATTTCATTCTAGGTGTTCGATGCATTTCTTTGTGTTTTAATTGTTTGCTTCTTATTTTCTTAGATTATGGTTTGAATTCAGTGTCATCCAGCTTAACACTGGACGATCTCTTTCGAAAAGAGTTGACAGTGCATGACCCTGAGGCAAAATGGATAAATGGTAAGTGTCAAAAACTAGCATGCAGGTATGCATCGTCTAGTGGCAGGATTATTATTGGGATGGCCTGAAAATGCACTGCATCTCATTTCTTTTCCAAGCATGCTTCATTGTAAATCTGACTATCATTTCACTGATGTGGTAGTCCAGCTACAAAATAAGGCGATAATGTAGGTGAGAAGATGGAGAAGTCCATTCAGCAAATGGATGTTGCTTGATTGCTATATTGACAAACAAAACACATTTTGATGTTTGTTTCAATAAATTCATCACTGTATATATAAGATTATTATATATAAAATATGATAAATATAAATAAACCAGGTTTCAATTAAAACTTCTTCAGAACCAAGCTACAATGAGCATTTATTTTTTTAAATTCATGTTCCTGTTTCTGTGGGTTTCTTTCTCTTCTGTTCATTGAACTTTACAGGTTCTGAAATAAAACTGAAAGAGCCCAGATCCTGAAATTATTGAAATGATGGTTAAAAAATAAATGCATTTAAACCCTTTTTTATATATTTGTAACTGTTTAGCAAAGCAGTTTCAAGTACTTTAAAGATTGTAAAGGACATGCAGTTGCCTAAAATGATAAAATATTAAATATAATTACATTACTGTCTGATCACCCATCTGTTTCAAGATATCTGGTCGCATTCTGGAGCTCAGTTGTGAATGATTTATGAATATAAAAATTACTTTGTTCAGCCTTTACTCTGCACTATTCAGTGTCTTTTTTCACATGAATGGCGTCATCTTCCAAGATATGGATTATCATTAAATACTCTAGTTCCCGGGAAACTAACAAAAAA